AAGCATATGTATAATATTTCCTTTTGGATGAGTCTCCAGCTTGTTAGACATATGAATGGGCAACTTCGTGGACTCCAGTGTTGACAATCAAATCTTAAGAAAGATGAGTGTGACATAAGATTCAAACTTTCTCCAGAGTCAGTTGAAGCATGTATCTTCAAACTTCCAAATTTACATGGCATAATAAGGCTTCTTGGATCCTCTTTCTTTTCTCGAATCTGATGTAAGACCCCGTTACAATTATTATTATTATTATATATTAAAGTTGTGAAGAAAAACAACAGTAAACTGCCCATTTATTTGGCAGAATTGGTCCCTTAAGTTACATTCCCGGTCCCTGTATTTTTGTATATATTACAGTTGTTGTCAATTTATCGGCTTCCGGATCCTTCCCACCGCCTACTTATCCAATATCTTTTTCTTCTTTCCTCGGATAACGTTCATCGCCACCGCCATCCAATCCACCGCCTTGATTTTCCATCAAAGAAATACTCAGGTTTCAGTTATCTACATTCCTTCAACGATTTCATGCCCTAAATTGACTATCCATTTTGCTTTTTTACAGATAGGATTTGTTTGATTTGTAGGTGGTGGTTGTTCTATGTGGGTTTCCGACGACTGTGAGAAGAGAAGATGAGTCTGATGCAGAGATTAGGAAGAGATGGGTCTTGGATGTTCCGATCTGATAACGAAAAAGGTAGATGAAGAATCTTCCGTTTCTACACTGGCTTCGAAACTGTGAGACACACGTTTCTGTGGTTTCTAATTGTTTTTCAACTTTTCTATCGATTGGTTGTATCCAATACAACCGAAGGCTGTAAGGTTTCATGTTAATTTGGTTTCACTGTATGCACCTTCTCCCTCTATGCGACAACATCAGAAAGGAAACCCATCACAGTAAACTAGGGTTTCTGTTATCAGAATCGAGGGCGGTGAAAGTGATTTCTATAGCAATCAATGAAGGAGGTGCAGCGGATATTAAACAGATTTGGTGCCATCTGCCACCGCCGTTCATAGGAGTTGTTAGGAATCGGACCGGGTACACGCAGCGGAAACACACTCTGATACACACTCACAAACTCACAAAATAAAGCAAGAAGAACACAAGGATTTTACGTGGTTCGGATTCGGTGCAAATCCTACATCCACGGGCTGCAACTAGAGATTTTAGTATTATGAGAAGATTACAATTGTGATGAACACACTCTGCACTCTATGTTGTGTTTTTTTGTTTGCTCGATACCTTCTGCATTTATAGGAACTCAAATAATTCCAATGGACAAAAGCAATGGTGGAGAATTAAAGAAAAAAAAAGCAACAAGTATTGATTTTAGCTGGTGGAAAATGCAATTAGAAGCATTGCTATGTCAGAAAGACTTGGACGTGGTACTCGGAGACAAACCGGAGAAAATGGAAAAAGCTGCTGAAGATGCGTGGAACTCAAAGGACAAGAAAGCCAAGGCGGTTATTACATTGTCGTTGACGAAGAGCGTTGCTTTCAACATCATGAATGAAACCACGGCGCGTGGTATGATGGAGGCTCTGTCAAATATGTATGAGAAACCATCGGCGGCTAACAAGGTGTTCTTGATGAAGGAGCTGTTCACTACAAGGATGAATGAGGAAGGCTCAGTTAGGAATCGGACCGGGTACACGCAGCGGAAACACGCTCTGATACCAGTTGTTATTGAACCTTTCGATTATAACCTTGTCTTCAGCCATTACGGCAAAAAAAAAAATAAAATAAGGTACATTCGTGTGTGATAGAAAAACGATCGTACCCTCCAAAACCTCGCTAACCAGGCTCTGATACCAGTTGTTAGGAATCGGACCGGGTACACGCAGCGGAAACACACTCTGATACACACTCACAAACTCACAAAATAAAGCAAGAAGAACACAAGGATTTTACGTGGTTCTGATTTTAGCTGGTGGAAAATGCAATTAGAAGCATTGCTATGTCAGAAAGACTTGGACGTGGTACTCGGAGACAAACCGGAGAAAATGGAAAAAGCTGCTGAAGATGCATGGAACTCAAAGGACAAGAAAGCCAAGGCGGTTATTACATTGTCGTTGACGAAGAGCGTTGCTTTCAACATCATGAATGAAACCACGGCGCGTGGTATGATGGAGGCTCTGTCAAATATGTATGAGAAACCATCGGCGGCTAACAAGGTGTTCTTGATGAAGGAGCTGTTCACTACAAGGATGAATGAGGAAGGCTCAGTTACGGTTCACATTAACAATCTAAATTCAATTCTGTCCAGATTATCATCTGTGGGAATTAAATTTGATAATGAGACTCAAGCTTCGCTGCTACTAGCTTCTCTACCTGATAGCTGGTCCGGAACAGTTACTGCTGTTACGAGTTCCGTGGGGACCAGTGGTATGACTTTTGAAGGGGTTAGAGATTTGGTTCTAGGCGAGGATATCAGACGCAAGAATCAAGGTGGATCTTCCTCTTCTGATTTATTAAATGTCGGAAGAGGTAGAGGGAATAGCAGGAATAGTGGGAGCAGTGGGAGTCGGGGAAAAAGTTCTTCTAGAACTTTGAAGAATGTGAAATGCTGGAACTGTCAAGAAGTGGGACATGTTAAGAGTCAATGTCCAAAGAAAGAATTGAACATTGCTGATGCTGAGAATTTTTCTGGGGATGATGCATTGTTACTCAGTATGGAAAGTTCTGTAGACTCTTAGGTCATGGATTCAGGGGCTTCGTTTCACGCCATGGACAACGGGGAAACGATGGTGAATCTAAAAGAAGGAGATTTTGGGAAGGTACGGTTGGCAAATGACGAGATGCTTCAAGTAACGGGCATAGGAGATATTGATCTGGTTACTTCATTGGGAACTACATGGAACCTGAAGAATGTCAGGGTGATTCCGGAGCTGAAAAAGAAATTGATTTCTGTTGGTCAGCTGGATAAACAAGGACTGGAAGTAAGGTTTGGTGGTGGTAAATGGAGGGTGGTCAATGGTAATTCGGTGATTGCTCATGGTATGAAGTGTGGGTCATTGTATATGGTTGAGGTACCTGCTGAGGGAAGTATGACCGTCCCGGTTAAGCATGACAAAATCTGGTTCGCTAAAATCTGGTGCTAAGAGAGTTCATTTTGCAAACATGAACTCTGGAGCCAAAAAGATGTTAGCTGAACGAGTTCGAAAGTCTAAACCATTCAGGGAATTTGGTGACAGTAGGAGCACGGGACGTGTTTCAGGTAAAGTTACAAAGAGCCGTTGGGTTTTGAAGACTAAGATTGAAAAATTCTCTCCTGTTGGATGTTTGCTATGTTTGGAGAGTGTTAGTGGTCCTCGGTGTATCTCTGGATCTGGTGGAGTGTCCAAACCGGTTGAGACAGAGGATGAGTCGGTGGTGGGATTAGCCACGACTGAGTTGGAGCTAGTGGGAACTTCAACTGGCCCTTCTAGATGATGATGAGGGGCGGCTGCAATTAGAGAAATTGGACTAAGTTTAGCTTGTTCTTGGGAACTGGAGGCTTGGAAGACTTGGTTGTTTTAAGATTACTGGAGAATTGTTGGGTTATTTTCTCCAAAGTGGGAGATTGTTGGTTGGTGGAGAAAATTGGTGGAGGCCAAATTAGTGGATGGTGATAATTGCTAGTGGTGTGAAGACCCACTCATAAAATGACAGACAAATTGGAGAAGGAGTGGCAATCAATACTTGTTGCTTTTTTTGTGAGTTTGTGAGTGTGTATCAGAGTGTGTTTCCGCTGCGTGTACCCGGTCCGATTCCTAACAGGAGTTTCCTAAGACCGGAGCTGATGAACAAAGGTAAGAACAACGAACTCTGTAGGGTGATGTCAACGTACATCTTTTTTTTTCTTTGGTTACTGATATGTTTCTGCTTTTGGTAGCTTAGGTTTAGGGCTTTTAAACCTCTTGATTGAATGCTTTTCATTGATTTTTTCTAACACACTTCATGATTTTCCTGAATAATGAATGAAAATCAATGTAATGGCTACTGGATGATTCAATTGACAAAGGGCACAGGTAAGAGATCCAATGTCAAACATACTTATTTTTTATAATTTTCAAATATCAAAGAAACTCACATGGAATAGAAAATACAGTTTGGAATGGGATGGTCAGTTTCATAAATGCTGAAATCCTTGCCTACCAGGTGTTTGTTAAAAATCCTTATTGAACTTTTAAAATCTTATATGTTCTAAAATCTTGAAAGGTACTCTATCTTTATTCTTTAATTTCGTTCCACTTCATTGGACCAAGGCAAAAATTAAACAATACCCTTTTTTGGAAATACAGAAATAAATTGGCTGTATTTTACAATGATGTTGGATTTATAAATTATCAAGAAATTGGTTACAGAATGTGGACAGTGTCCGACTCTAAAGTTATTACAAGACCAACTGCTTTAGAATCCTAAGGCCTCAAATTGGTACAACAAGGTTGTGATCTAAGAAAGGTATGCATTTTGACTAAATTCAAGAAATCTTGAAATTAATTAATATATACTTATTTTCCAAATTAATTGTTTTGGGTTTGTTTAGTTACAAATGAAGAACGTAAAGCGCGATTCCAAACAGATATTTGGGGAGGTATCAAAGACGCATCAAGCTATACAGTAAGTTGATTGATAATTGATATTGTCACAACTTTTATTATTTTTTTAATGGATATGAAATAAGTGTGAATTTTTTTAATGCCGGTTTCTTTTTTTATTTAATTATACGACACTAGATAAAAACAATTTCGAGCTTAGAGATGGAATTAGATGCAGCAATTGTCAGTGCCACGGTAGGGGGCATACTCGACCGTGCTATTGAAGCCAAAGACAGAAAACATGGCGATTTCTTAAGACTGGTATACATTTTTAATTATTTTTTAAATTATTAATTTGCTGTTCAATAATTTTCTCAATTTAATAAAAATCCAAATTAACTAACTTTCACCAACATGTATAGGACTATGTAGAAGGATAACTAGAACTATCCGCAAAAACAAAAACATATTTTGCAACCATGGTTACTATGTGGGATGCAGAATTTTACATCAAAGTTGACAATGATGTTCACGTGAACATAGGTAATTTCAATATTTGTTCTATTAACATCAGTATAATTTCAATACATGTCAAACACAGTATAAATTATACTGACATATTGAATCTTGATTACAACGACACTAGGTCATACATTAGTTAGACATAGAAAGAAGAAAAGAGTATATATCGGATGCATGAAATCCGGTCCGGTACTTGCTCAAAAGTAAGTAAAAATAATAATCTCGAATTTAATAAATTCAAAACATTTAGATTATTTAAATATTTTTATTTACATATTAATGGAACAGAGGAGTAAGGTAACCCGAACATTGGAAATTTGGTGAGTCAGGCAACAAATAATTTTTTAAATTTGTTTGCAGGCAGTTGTTTCAATAGGAAAGCAAGAAGGTCTAAAAGGGTATTGGAAGGGTAACCTTGCTCAGGTGCTTTACATTATTTGAGGAAATGAAAGGAAAAACATAAATGAGGGCAAATTTGTAAAATTTAAAACTTAATGGGAAAACACTCATATATAACTTAATTGATTCAGTTATGTCTTATAAATTTTCAGGTGCAGTTCAACTATTTGCTTATGGGTCTTACAAGGTATGCAAAAACTTTTTCTTGGAAAAAGGTGATTCGACCATTTTGCCCTTTAAATTAATGTTGAGTTTTGCAGAAACTTTATAGGGGGAAAGATGGTGAGCTTTCTGTTATTGGGAGATTAGCTGCAGGTTTAAATGCACGTTTTTTTTTTCTGGTGGACATCATTGTCAACTTTGATGTTAAATGCACTAAAAAAAAACGTGTTAATTTTTTTCCACGTGAAAAAAAAAAACGTGTTAATTTTTTTTTTGCAGGAACATGTTATTTTTTGGAAAAAGGTGATTTGACCATTTTTTTTTTCTATTTTTTACAGTTTGTTCTAATTTTTTTAACCAAAAAATAGCACATTGCCATTATGTACATTTTTCGTTTTTAGGTGTTAAATGCACTAAAATAGCAATGTACTTCGACTTTACACCTTTTTTCTGTTTTTGGAAATTTGTTTTGATTTTTTACCAATAACCAACAACGCATACCAATGTACTTTGAATTTACATCTTTTTTTCTTTTGGTTTTTTTTTTGTTTTTTGCAATTTATTTCATTTTTTATCAAAAACTAAAGTACATTGCTATTTGGTGCATTTTTCATATTTTGGTGGTGAATGCAGTAAATAGCAATGTACTTCGAATTTACACATTTTTTTTCCCTTCTGTTTTTTTGCAGTTTGTTTTGGTTTTTTTACCAAAAAAAAACCACCACATTCCCGTTACGTGCATTTTCCATTTTTACGTGTTAAATGCACTAAAATAGGAACATATTTCGAATTCATAGCTTTTATTTTTATTTTATTTTTTCTGTTTTTTGGCAATTTCTTACTCTCAAATAATTGTAACCTGCTGCTTCATCTTGCCCACTATGCAATTACAGAGGTTTCATCAAACTTTTTTGGTTATTGTGCACTGCCTAGAAGAAGATACTGAGAAAACTCCTCAAGTATCTCTTTTACCCTTCTTATTTCCTGAAAATTTACATCTTTATAAGTTATAATATATAATTTTCTATAACCCAATGATTCAATAATTGAATCTTTTCTCTTTCTGTTGTTTCGTGATATAGGAGCTTGCTAAGCAGAGGACCAATGCATGCAAATTAGACAGACCACATATGTTTGCTAAAATTAAGAAGTTCATGAAAGTTTCAAATGAGTGGCCGCTCCTGAAATAAAGCCGTATACAGCAGCGATATTTATTCGAATTAACTTAGTTTATTGTTACGTAGTAATGTTATATAGTGAAGACGAATATTTGATTTCTTTTTCTACTAATAATCTTGATAAATAAACTGGTATGCAATGTATTTTATTGTTTGTTTTTGACTTAATCTGGAGTAAATGACTTACTTAATGGGTTAAGCCAAAAACTCGGCTTAATGTATTAAGATACTATGCATTTACTTATTTGTGCTGTGTTTTTTTCTTCCAAATCCATTAACATTTACATGGTTGCCAAGGAGAAAAGTTGTACCCAAGTCGCACGGGATTAATGGCCAAAATCTATAGATGGAACTAAATCCTGGATTATCCAGATTTAGTAACCCAATGTATGTGAAGCATTTTCGAAAGCGGGTGTGTCATGTACTCTTTTTGAATGCAATATTTGACACCTACAGAAAGATGTAAAAGCATGTCAATTGTAATAGCAAAATCATCGAAAACAATAAACAAATTACTCAACTCATGTATGCATTTAGGGTGGCAAAATACTTTTTTTTATCGTATACTTAATCAATAACATGTTTTACAATCGAAATAAAGCGACCCCACAACAGTGTTCAAAGTATAAACAAATATTTCATAAAAGAATATTTACAGATTAGTTCTATTTATCATCATAAACACTGCCTGTTATGTTAAAAAACTACGAAATAATAGTGTTCAAAGTATAAACAAATAGTTCATGAAAGAATATTTACAAAGAATAAACCGAAAAAAAATATTACATCCGGCCCCGCAACGCGGGGTTACCCATCTAGTTATATATATTAAATCACAAGGGCCTTAGCAATAGTAACTTTTTAGGCTTTAGGTTTTTGCCACAAATTTTTGGTGAATATGACACTTTTCGTCCCTAAAGTCAAACCTTTTACATTTTTGTGTTTTGATTAAGTCTTTAATGACTTTGACACTTTTAGTCCTTGCAGTCAAAAGTTTTATATTTTGGTGTTTTGCCACAAATCTTTAATGAATTTGACACTTTTTGTCCTTGTACTCAAATCTTTTACATTTTGACATAAAAACACAAAAAACCTTCTTTTGAACTTTGCCACCATATTTTTCCAACTTTTGCAACTTTAACATTATTGCCACAACATTTTTGAATTTTCTCCACCAGTGTCCCTTCTTTTGGTTGTACACTTTTGACATCTAATTTTAGGGGTTGTCGACTTTCTACTTTATTTGTGGTGATTTAAAGTTTTAGCACATATATTTTAAAGTTTGCTGATTTTTCCCATATTACCTAAAAGCGGCGTAGCCACGGATTCTTTGCTAGTTATTATTAACTATAAAAGGAATCTAACATTTTACTCAACTCCATGTTAGCAGTAAGACCCGGTCAGCACTAAATAACATAGGGTGACCAGTTGTGGAACGAGTAACCTTCTAAAAATGTGAAATATGAATAAAAGTTTACATATATTAGACAATATTAAACAAGATCACACGCACAAGGGCCACAAAACTTAAAAACTTTCATGTCAAAGCCAAAATTTATATTTCAAAGTATTTCTTGTAACAATGGTAACCAACCACCAAGTTTGAAACACCGTTTTGTGCAGTATAAGTATCCAATGCTATAAATAAAATAGAAGGATATTTAATTTCTAACTTAGCTAAGGTTAACAAAAGAAATTATAGAAAGCTTAGTAAGCACTTTTTAGCTATTTTCATACTTCACTAACTATAAATAACTTAAAAAGTAAAAATACAAATATAAACCATTGATACCAAACCATGCGTCCAAACTCCAAACGATAAAATAACATGGCAGTTAATTATAAATGTTAAAAATACTTCACTGCATATTTACTAAACGCGACACTTCACTTACGTAGGCAATTCTTGTAGTCACAAAAGGTTACGTGCAATGTACTTGTACTTATGTAGGATTGTAGTTGTCTCCTTGTGTTTGTTTTGTCTAGAATTCTTATCAATATGCCCACACTTGGCGTGTGTTTCGCCATCCACTTTTGACCCTTGACAGTAAAAAGTTTTGGATAGATCGACAAACTGTCAAGATTGATTTATTGTGTGTCAAAAAATTCTTATAAGTAATTATGAACTCCGATTACGTTTCGGAACTTTGTTCTTTTAATAAATTGGAGAATTTCGTCTATTTAATTGTAAAGTTTTATAGATATGTTTATATTATTATAAAACATCAAATTACATGCATATAATTATAAAATATATAGAGTATAGACTTACATATATACACAAATACTAAATTAATCATAATTATTCTATTTAAAAAAAAGAAATGATAATTTCTTAAAAACCATTTTTAATATGTTTAAGACGAAATTGCAAAAAATGGTATCTGTTGTTGGCAAAATTAGGCAAAATTATATGATTTTCTCCAAAAAGTTTGATGTGTACCAATGATCCAAAATTGAATATTTTTATTGGTTTTCGTCCCTATCAACTTAAAAAGACCATTATACCCCATATATTTATTATTTTAATTTTTTTATATTTATATTAATGTTTTTAATTAATTAAAAATAAAAGAACGGAACCACACACGCGCGCACACACACACACACACACACACACACACACACACACACTCTCTCTCTCTCTCTCTCTCTCTCTCTCTCTCTCTCTCTCTCTCTCTCCCCCTAGGGCTGTAAACGAACTGAACGTTCGGCGAACCGTTCGTGAACTGTTCGGCGGGAAGTTCGTTTATTTAATAAATGAAGGAACACGAACAAAAATTATCGTTCGTTAAGTTAAATGAACGAACATGAACAATGGTCTCGTTCGTTCATTTATGTTCGTGAACGTTCGTTTATGATGTTCGTTTACGTTCGTTTATGTTCGTTTGTTTAAGTTTATTTATATTCATTTATATTTAATTTTTTTTATTATATTGCTATATTATATGTTCGTTTATGTTCATATATGTTCATATATGTTCAATTGTGTTTTTTTTATCTTTGTTCGTTTATGTTCGTTTAGCATGTTCACGAACATAAACGAACGAACATGAACAAGGTAATTTGATAAACGAACGAACATGAACAAGAAAATCTCGTTCGTTTATCCGTTCGTGTTCGTTTGTTGTTCGGCTAACTTAAACGAACGAACATGAACAAGACCTTGTTCGTGTTCGTTTGGTTCGTTTACAGCCCTAATCCCCCCCCCCCACACCTCTCTAAAAACACACACAAACACATACTATCAAGAACACCTCCACCTCATCTCCTCTTGCAATCAATGTTCCCCCCCCCCCATCTGTCTGCCATAGACCTCCATCTTCTCCACCCTTATCCCCCACTAGATGTCTCTCCTTCTCAGACCTAAAACGCAGATCCCGTCGGAGCTATCCCTTCTCTCTCTCATCTTGAGATTAGAAATAACTCTAATATGTCTAACATTTGTGACCACTTGTAAACAAGAAGACCACCATCGACAATCTCACCCACTATTAGGAGCAATTTTTTTGACCTGAAAAGATTTGTAGATTTTGATATTGGTTCCAGGTTTCGGGTTTGTTCTTGATTTTTGTTTGGTGTTGGATTTCAATTTGATTTGGGGATAAACGTTTGTGGGTGTCGGAGATGAACGTGAAAAGTGGTTGACCGGTTGTCTTCTCTGTAAATTTTTATTACTCGCACAAATCTATAAGAGAAAGACAGAGAAAGAAGTGAGGGAGATAACTGGGGTGGAGTGGGTGAGATTTTATTGGTGATGTAAATCCGAAAAGTGGTGGTGATGTTATGATGACGTTGGTTTTCCGAGCAGCACCACAATTCTTGTTGGAGCTAAGGTTTCCCGAGCAGACCACAGAAAGAGAATATAATATATATATATATATATATA